ACGTATCACTGCCTTACCAGTATTGGCTTGGACCATAGCTCTTTCTTGTCCAAGTACTGTGGCACGAACCCAACGTCCTTTATCCTTGAACTTTGATGAATCCTGAGTCCAAACAAAAACCTTCTCTCCTTGGAAATAAGGACCGTCACTTGGCATAGTCCTTCTTGCAAGATCTGCTCGAAGGTCCTGAGCTTGTCGTGCTTCTTGATGAGCTCTCAAAGCCACACGTTGTAGTTCCAAATTTGTACGATCTTGTGCGGCGGCATTAGCTGACAATTGCTCAGGGCTTGCGGTCTCAAGGTCAAAAAGATCTGGTGGACGTCTTCCAGTTGCTATCTCTATTGGTGAATATCCACTGATAGTCAACTGACAATTTCTTGCCCAAACTACCTTCTTGACCACTTCTCTGACCGTAACACCACGAAAACGTGGGTCATCCAGATCTACCTTCATAACATGCCACATACGTTTGAACAAACGTACAGCTGTCTCTGCTCGGTTCGGCCAAGGAGTTCTTGGCCCACAAGGACATTGTTGTATACCATGGAACCTGTAGTATTCAACAAAAGCATCGGTGAAAAAGGCTTCGTCTCCTACGATGGCCTTTGGAACACAGTTGTTCTCATCAGACCATTGCCTCAATGCTTGGATGGTGGTTTGATCTATGAGGTCTTTCTGTGTCGTAGCCCAGAGAAGATTTGTGGCACCATCAAGAACAAGTAAGATGATATATTTGTTCTTGTGAAGTTCAACCTCACAATGATCAGCAAAAACAACATCACCAAAACATGAAGCTCTAATACCGGAGACTCTGGCTCGTGGCGGAGGTGCCACTGAAGTGTTACAAACACGGCAGTTCCTGACAACTGATTCATACTTCTCTAAAACAGAGTCAGGAAGCTTCAACATAGAAACACGTCGACGAAACTGAGTAGGACTCATATGGTAGTGCTTCACATGAAGCTTATAAAGCTCTACCTTGTCCTCCAGTCTCTGTAACATCTTCCTATATGCCGGTGTCATTGCAACAACTTCACTACCAGGTAATCGGATTGAAATCCGCCTAGGCTCAAGAGCGCCATCACCTGGTTCAAGTGGTTCATGTTTATCACTTGATGGTCCTTTTGATGCTTTAGGAATTTCTACAAGTTCACCTTCTGGCCTCTCAGGTGGTTCTGAGGGAGCATACTCCTCAAGATCATCACCCTTTAAATCATTCTGAGGCTCAGATGGTTTCGACTTGTGTCCCTTCCAAAATGGATCAAAACCCTTGGAAGTATACCGAAACTTTGGCGGCACGGGCTTTTCCGCGGCACTGGCTGGTGCACCTTCCTTCTCTGACGAGAAGCCTGGTTCCCTGTCCTTTGCAATGGGAACCTTCTCTGAGGAGGAGCGCACCACTGCATCGGGATCACCAATGCCACGGTGCTCAATGCCAGCCTTCTTGATCTTTAGATCTGGAATTTTGGCATCTGGCTTGAACTTAAAAATTGTTCTACCACGCCATTCATAGCCAATTTGTAGGTCCTTCCATTTTGCCTTGCGCCAATCATCCTGCTTCTTTATCTCTTCTCCTCCTTTCTTCTTCTTGATGATTGTCAGTCGCAAGTCTTCCAGTAAGTCAGTGTCTACAGGACAGGACTTAGTTGCTGGAAAAGGAATCTTTCTGTAATCCTTGTGGTGACGTATCAGTTCTCTCTTGTGAACATCTACTTCCCAGTAGTCAACCACAGGATATGCATGTTCAGCTACATCTTCATCACTATTGAGGTCAACAGAAATATGACCATATTCATAGTGAGTGAAGTGAGAGTAAAAACTCCTCTCGCGCCGAGTCTGCAAATTCACGTCAGACAGATACCATGCAATATCTTGGAAGTCCAAAACAAGATGAGTACTGGCTGCAACCTTCAACTCCAAATATTTGATACCAAGAGGCACCGATGTCAGATAAGCGTGTTGAGGTGTCAGCCTGAGTTCAAAGCCTAAGTTCCTCATCTGTGGCAAGCTCATAAGCAAAGGGACTTCTCCTTCTTCCACTATGTCGAACTCTGTATGGTGGATCGTCCATGCACGATCATACATGTAAATCACCAGTTTCTGAGAGCAAGTAGCCTTCTGGGAATTGGCAAAGTAAAACTTGCTCTTGGTAGCCTCAAAAGAGTACCATAATCCACAATCTGGGTGATTTTCGACATAGTTGCAAAAATGGTCGACTGCTCGCCTTGATCCCATAGCTCTAGTGCATCCAATGTCCAGGATTGCAATAGTCGGCGGGAAGCGATTCTCAGTCAAAAATGAAATGGCCTGCATCTCCATCACTTCTTCCTCAGCGCTCATAAGCGCAAAGCCATCAGGTGCCTTTGTGAGCATCTCCTTTGACAAAGAGTACCTCACAGGGGCACCCATGCCATTGAAGATCGTCCCACCATTGTTGACCGCGCAGTCAGCTTCATCTTGACATGAGGTCATCATGCCTGACAGCAAGTTCACCTCACTGTCATGGACTTCAGCTGCTGCTGTCACACAATGTGCAAAGAAACCTTGTTGACCTCCTGATGCTTGTGAAGATCTTGAAGGTGCAGGCAAGGAACGTGGCTGTTGTTGATTTGCATAGTTTGCATCTTGTTTGCCATCTCCTTTATCTTTTCCTTTTCCTTTCTTGCCTTTTCTCTTGCCTTTTCCTTTTCCTTTGTGGGAAAACCATGCTTCTTCAAGCTGTTGCCAAAAGTCATTGGCATCATCATATTCTCCTTGAAGATAGTCATTCATATCTTCGGCAAGAATGGCATCATATGCTACTTGGTTTGACTCCCAAGTGTCCTCATAAGGATTCTCTTCAAAATACTATTCTGGATATGTTGTCTGTTGCTCATCAGCATAATGGCCTTTACCTCGTCTCTTTCCTTTTCCTTTTCCACGAGGTCTGAAGAATCTGCGGCCTGATCTTCCTTTACCTTTTCCTTTTCTTCTACCTTTTCCTTTGCCTTTTCTGGCTCTTCTTCCTTGGAATCTCCTTTGGAACCACGAGAAGTTTTGATCATCATATACCCAAAAGACATCGTCCAGGGCATCTAGAAATCCTTCAGTTCCATCTTCTTCATCTTCGGCCCAATAGCCAAATGTACCATCGAGTTCTCCTTCGTCTAGTACGAGAAATGATCTTCTACCTCCAGCACCTGTCGGCTGCATCAAAGGATTGTCTACTGAAGTCTTTGTCGTGCAGAACATCTCAATGAAAACTGTCCTCAACTCTGTTGTAGTGTATTGCTGCAGGACCCTGCCACGATGAGTCATCAAAGAAGTCAAAGTGTTTCGCTGGTCCTGAGACAAATCTGCAAGTGACAGCATGAGTAAGGCAATCAGATTTTCTCCTAGAGGAAATTCGTTCTGATGAAAAGTCCTCATATTGCCATTGATGGTCTGCATGATTTCCTGAATCCTTTCTGCCGTTGGTGCTACTCCAGTCAACGCTGCATCTGCCTGCATCTGAGCTAGGACCTGTGGATGTGCTTGAGTGACTGGTTCTAACATGTCCATCCAACTGCTCATAAGCCTTTGGAGTAAAATCTGGAATCTTGTCATCCATTTCATCATGTCAGCTGATCCTCGATTGAAGCGCACGAATTGCATAAATCTATACAGGAATACATTGGTTGATCCTTTCACGAAATATGGTCGTAGTACTCGTTTGAAATATTCTACGCCGGCTCCTGGTGGATCATTTGCCTTCAATGCATCTCTGTCTAAAACACGCTTGTATACAGCTGCTTCTCCTTCTAATCTGTTTCTCAATGCTGGTCCTCTCTTCTCATCCTCCAGCTCGGTGATATCACACCAATCGTCTATGGCATCCTCATAGGAAAACCATGAAGTCTTTCCATCATAAGATGGGGGCACCTTTGTAGTGACCTGTGTTGTCATTGCTATTGCTGCTGGTTCTCTTCTCACATGCCTATTCACGTAGGCTGCTGGCTCATAAGCCACATCCGCATCAGGCTCTTCCCAGTCGTCTATCCAATCCGTGGCTGTTTGCCCACTAGCAAGTCTATGCCTAGGAAAGGAGCTCACCTGGGTCTTCCAGGATCACTGCTCCGCTACCACTGAAAGAGTGACTAGGGCGTACACGGTAGAGGTGCAGACCGCTAGTGTCTTTTACTCACGCAGAGTCTTATCCTATCTTGAGCCTTGAAGCAGTCAAGCATGGACACACTATATCGGCTGTTGGAGTGGAACCCTGTACAGGTAGGCTCTACTTTTCAGGGGGGGGTGGGGGTGTTAGACATTGATCTACCAATCTTTAGTCCCGAGCAAGCTCTCAAGCCAGTCCCTTTGCTTCGCAAAGCAAACTCAAGGTAGTCCTTACCAGGCTACCTTTCGTGATCAAGTGATAGGAAAATACCTGGGGTCTATCCTATGACCAGGGCGGATGGTGATGGTTCAGTTGGCCGCTCCACATCGGCTGCCTGGCTGTTCACCGGCTCAGACCAAGTCAGACTCGGACAGACTCGGGACGGAGCCAACGAATATATGTCAACGAACGGAATGGAAGGGTTTTCACAGATTGAAGATGGACACCTGCCCCCCCACCGGGACCCTTGCGAAGCATTCGTGGCCTGGCAAGTTGGAAGAGTGGTGGACACCGAAGCGTTTCAACCTCTTGCGGCGCGTGAAGGTGTGAGAGTCCTTCATTCCGCAGCTTGGTGCAGAGTCCTTCCATTCGATTCCCAGAGGTCCCAAGACACGACAACTCGGACCGACCCACGCGGTACGTGAGTGAGTTCTCCGAAGACCAGAGAGGTAGGTGGTTTGCACTCACTCCACGGTTTGCTATGCTTCTTCCAGGGTAGGTAGTTTAAGTCGCAAAATCATACGAAACACATCAAGAGTTGAGCCGCCACATAGGAAGATGCTAATTTCTTCACTGGGGTCACTCCCAAAAGCGCCCACTGACTTCCAAATGTCATCGAACATTCACCCACCCAATGCTTCAGGCGCGCCTGCGACCAGCATGGGCGCTGCATGGCCTCTGGAAGTGGTCCAGTTGAGAGTGCGACTGTGGCGGCCACTGTGGCTGCCACTGGTACTCTAGTTCGGGTATATATTAGCATGAAAAGGTAATGCATATCAGGGCCAGGGTCGGTTGTTGATGAAGGTTATTATAGTTGCAGGCCTTTCGGAATCCCATTCTTACTGGCGTAATGGGACAAAGCACGAACTCTTGGTGAGTTTTCCTTTGCTTCCTCCATGCGTCTTCTCTTGCCCGCTCAACGTTTGGAACTCCCACCGACTCGGATCCTCAGGTTTGGACAGTATAGACTCAATAACTATATACCAGAGCCCCCTCAGGGGTGGTTAATGGATACCCCTGAACCTCTAAGGAGCTATAATTAGACACCCCGAAACGCGGGCCCTGGTAGATAGACATTCCAGGAGTCACAACAAGACGGGGTGGTTTGGTTCGTCCCATCCAGTGAGTGGATGTGGATGGGCACCCTTATCCTTCCTCCGTTCGGAACCGGCACAGCGAGCTCTGTGACTCCTGATTTGACTGTATATGACAGTAGATTGATGTATTTTAGATGATATACGGAGCGTTTCAACAAAAGACCACTGGCCAGGTGGTTTTCCGAGGACTCCTGGGGAGCGGCAGAGTAGCAGTTCTGAGATGTCAATGGAGGGAATTCTTGAACCTCCTTCGTCCATCTTCGTCCTGGCGGGGCCACCTCTCCTTTCACTCAGAGTCACTGAATGTCTCACTGCATGTCTCATGTGCTAAGTCCAGGTGCATGTCACAGTGACTTGGACCTGGTCATACCACGACGAACCGGACATCTCTGGCTTTGAGCCAGGGTCTACCCGGCAAAGCTGTGCAGCTGTGCAGCTGTGCACTGGTGACCACCCACCTTTGATTTCAGGAAACCCTTGTTTTGAATAAGGACGTTAGACTACAAACCAGGTCAACCATCCGTTTCGTCGAATGGAAGGCGAACAGGTTTATTTCTTCCACTACATCAAAAACCCGGCTGTTAGGCTTCCGTAGACTGTAGACGTTTGACCATGATGGTCGGTTGACCTGGCTTTGCAGTCTAACATCCTGAATAGGGGAACGCTGAGCTTGAATCTGTGAATCACAGAAATCCGTCCAACCGAACTGGACCGTCCAATCCGTTTCACTCCTCCACATAACTGTGAGTCATGAGAAACATCCATCCACCGGACCTCGTGTCTCTCATCCAAAGGCGGACCGAAGCACCGTCACTCCGACGGGGTCTCTGTACCCGAACTGAGCCGCCCGAGCTACTCCGCACCGGCGATGTGTGGCCACTTCCTCTGAACCCCCGCGCGGGAACAGCGCGGAAGACACGGGACATGTGGGTGGCGAGCCGTGCCAAGGGTTCGAAGTGCATCGTCATCCCGGCCGCCCTAAGCAGAAGTGGTCATTGTAAAGAAAGAGGTGAGAAAGTCCCAAGTCAAACCCACGGGTTTGACGATGTTTTACTCAGGCTGTGACACCCAAGTTTTTGGAGCTCCGGCTCCGGCTCGAGCGCCGCGACGCCCTTTCGACTCTTGGCCTTGAGGTCCAGACGCGACCCTGGACCGGACTTCACCAAGAGAGGTATCCAGTGACCTGAAGAAAAGGACCTGTAACCTGGGGTAACCAACTGGGATAGGCTAGTTCGAGTCCTGCAGAACGGCCAGAGGTGGTGCCAGCGGGATTTTTTCTGGGGCGGCATATATGATCATGTATGCCAGGTCCCATGTGTATGGGTGAAGAGCTTAGTGACTTTTTCACCAAATCGAGTGGCGTGAAAAAGTTCCATGAGTCGTCTCCTGTGCATTACTTTTCAGCCGCCCATCAAGACGCCCAAAAGCCAGTCGACCTTCAGTCTTCAGCCCCTCTCTGTCCACTCTCCATGTGACCAACCAACCCAACCGTCACATATACATCGGGCGGAGCGCGTGCTGGACAACGCCGGACAACGCCGTGCTTTTCCAGCGATGAAGGTGAATCCAACGATCGCTCGGCGCCCTAGAGAAAATAGAGGCCCTCTCGGTCGACTTGCTTTGCTCGGCCGTGAGCAAAGGCAACAACTGCAAACAGAGCGAAGTTCTCAAACCCCCTTCTCAACTGCAAACGGAGCGAACCATCGGAACCCCCATGAGTGAAAAGCATGGCGGAACGCGCTGTGGCAGGAAAATGAAGGGGCTTCGGACACAGCAATTGCTGCTTTCAACAGGGACATGTGGGTGGGGACTGAGCTTCACGCACGACGAAACCAAAATGTGTTGTAGACCTGCCCGGCTCTGGTAGCTCAAGTCCTTTGGCGCACCACTGTCAAATGCCTTTTTGTCCATGTATTCTAGTTCATTCTAGTCCAAGGACCTCAAACTGCAGCAGCCATTCAATCCTTCACCAACCCAAGATCCCCAGTCCATCCCCAATTCCATCGGTGGGAACGGTTCCATCGACCAACCCCAAAACCGGTCCACACCGACTTCGCAGGTCCTGCGCCGCCACTGGGCATCGCGTGCACCGCGGACATCTGCACCGGCATAGCTGCCGGCATGGGCGCGGCGGACATCGGCGCGGCGGACATGGGTGCAACAGCCGCGGGAGGCGCAAAACCTTGGAAGTACGCGCTTGCTTCTCCCGGCAATGGATGGGTACTGTGAGTTTGGAGCTGACTCAAATGCATGTTGATTGATGCATGTAAGCAAAAAACAAAATCTAAAACGTTCTAAAACATACAATATGCAAGTGCGCATCCGCTTTCTTGGTGTGGGGTATGGCCACGTTCAATCATCATCCGGAACTGATCATCCCCAACAGCTGGCACCCACCATTCGGTCCTTTCATTCCAAAACCCACCTTGCACGCATCTTCGGAACTTCCCGCGCTGTCGGAATCGGAAACTGCTTTGGAGCTGGACAGCTGCCACAACCTACGAGAACCCTGCGCTTGGAACCACGGGTTCCATGTCAAACCGGATCGAAACCATTTTGTTGGTGGAAGGCCCCCAGCAAGTTGGTGGAAGCTAGGCGCAAGTTCACAAGTTGGGAAAACATATTTTTCGTTTCGCGACCTTATGACCAGCTGTGGGTAAACATGCAATGTTCCTAGTCAGTAAGGTTATTGATCATAGCCCCCCGCAAGGCTGCGGCTGAATGAAACACACGGGACAAACTACATATAGACACACACCCCGGCAAAGAAAATTCAAAAGGATTCAAATGGCATACTTCTGTGTTTGCTCCGCCTGTTGAGACTTGGATCCCAGCCGCAAACAAGTAAGGCCACACAAACAATGCGATGCCTGATGAGGTCAGGGTGCGGCTCCAGCGAACGAAAGGAATTGCGACCCAGGCTTCACCATCCAAGCAACCGCCTGCGTAGCCCCCGCTGAAGCCGCCGGCAAAGGCCACATGACGATCACCCTGGCCACAAAGGTCTGTGCCCAACTGTGTTTGCATGGATACGGACAAGCTGCGTCACACCCACCAGTGAAAAGCACATGTTGCTGCCTGGGATCGGAGAGCTGACACTTCTCCAATGTGCAGATTAGCATGGGCTCCTGTCAACCTTCACCCCTTCATTTGGCATCCTACAGATGCTGGGCACTTTGCCTTTGCACACGTGATTGGCAAGCGCAAGGAACAGTTAGGTCGCCCTGATTACGTTGTCGGATTGCAGCACTCCATGCAAAAGAGGTTGCATAGCAAAGCAGAGCCGTTTCTTGTCTGGAAATTCGCATTGTAAATCGGAAGCTTGGTAAGAAAATGACCCACATATATCAGTTCACATCTACTGAAACGTCACCTGAGGTGGGATTCACCTTGGACTCGCGTCTCCCAGGAACCGGGAAATTGTCAAACATATTTCGCCCAGAAGCGGATTCACCCAGTTTGGGGGACTATGAAAATCACAAAATATATACACAAAACCAGATGAACCAAACACTCACCCAATGGCCCAATGGATTGGGAATCCAACAAAAAATTGTCCAATAGAAGAAGTTGGGAAGACGACTTCTTGACTTGGCGCAAATGATGGAAACACTAGGGCGCAACATCACCGTATTACTGCAGCTCCCCCCCCCATGATTTCACCGAAAGCACCCTCCCAAAAACGGCCGCTCGAGCACAAACCCAAACACTCCGCCCAAACGTTGACCCGCTTTGGCACTACCTGGGGCTGCTAGGTGGAGGTCATAGCTATTAGGTGGAGGCCATCGCAAGTAGGTTGGAGGCCATCGCTACCCCTACACCTGTAAAAGTATTTAAACCCTCCAAACCCACCCCAAACACCTTTTGAGAAGGCACTTGGAGGCCTAGGCTACTAGCAACAAGAAGCAACTAGGTGCAGCTGGTCACTTCAACACGGGCACCACGTCCCTCGACGTCATGTCCCCGCACCGCCGTGGACCGGACAGAAACACACGCGTCACCGACAGAAAACACGGCGTTCAAACCGAAGCTTCCGGGCGAGCCAAAAAACCTAAGCAGCCTTTACAATGATCATACCAGGTCCATGGCACCCACCTCTTTTGGTTGGGCCGAACGGAAGGGGGGAAAAAGGGGCCTTGTAAGCCGAAGCAAAGGACGATCGAACACCGCGCGAAGACTTCGGCTCAACTCCCGGCGAACTTCCGCGGGCGGAAGTAGGAACTTCGCGAACCTGTGTTGGGCTCGAGGGCCGCGGCACCTGAGGCGCGGGTTGGAACAGACGGGACGAAGAGAGAGGGCGCCTGGGACGAAGAGAGGGAGAGGACAATAGCTGTGGATTGGAAGACTTCAAGTTGCTGCTTCCAGCAAACTGGAAGAAATCGAATATCTTCCCCATGCCAGGGGATTTACCCATCAAAAAGTGAAACACCCTGGCCCTGACTGGGTTTGAAGGTACGAACATGTCCCGAACCAAACCCAGGGGTCGGAACGCCATGCCGGGTGTTGGTTTCCCTAAGACTGAGCTACACACCCACTTCAATTTGATTGTTGAAATACATTGAATCCAGTGGGTCCCATGCAGCCTCTATCTACGGAACCACAACCCAAAGAGTTTCGTTCGGTCTACCGTTTAAGTCTTTGGAACCACTGGTTACCTACCACATATAGTGGTAATTGGATACACTGGGGAATATGCGTCACAGTTTTGAAACAAAAATGTGTGGACTCAAACTTCCGGTGAGGGAGTCAGTTATGTCCAGTGGTTGTCAGCAAAGCGCTTGACTCGGTAGTTAGTGCAAAACCGCAAGCTTGCTGGGTCGGTCAACTTGAAGGTGTTTCAACAATGGATTGCAATGCAGAAACCGGCGGCTAGCTGCGATCAGCGGAAATGACCTGGTGAACCTAGGAATCAGCCTGCTGAAGGGTGGACTAGTGGAGTCAGTGTGTTCATGAAAGAGCGGCCACCAGCAGCGTCTGACAATGCGCCCAGGTGCACCGAAGCAGGTACGTTTTCACAGGAAACGCGCAGCGTCTTCTTGGTCGCTGACTGCGCGAATCGCCAGCGACCAGGCCACGGCGCATAGCCAAGTCCAAGGCCTTTGTCAAAAGCTACCTCTCTTGCTCCGTTTTGATGGTGTCAAGTACACGTGACCTACGGTCTCCTCAGATGTGCTGACTGTGGCCTTCACACAGTAGACAGAAGACTTCCCCTGCTCCTTTTCTTGATCCGTGGACGAAGGATACAACCCGAGCTCACCCATGCATAGAATCCTTGATGCTTTAGGCGCCAGTCCTTCGTCAGTATCTGCTTTGAGGAAGAGCATTTGCTCAACACCACATGCTGGGGGTCGGAATGTATGCCGTTCAAGGTCCAGCCCCATTGAACGTGCGCATCGGTTCTGGTGGATTCCGGTGAATTGAACAGCGCGGAAGAGAGGATGGTAATACTTTAAGATCATGAACCTGAATAAGTGAAGCCTTGAAGACTGAATCGTGATCTCGAGGAGCTTTGCAACGCTCAGCTTCAAAGCAGGGCTGACAGATTGCATCACAAGCTCCAGAGGAGTGTTTCCAGCGCTTCCACCCGAGATCGATTGGCAACGTCAGGAAACAGAGTCAGCAGCTCTCGCAGCTAGCCCCTGTGCTGATTCAATCGTTTCCACCAGACAGGAATTGACCTGCAGATAGAAGAGGGTCTTCACATCGCAGGCATAGTTTGCGCCATCCTGCAATTTGGGAATGACGCCTGGACATGGGGTGTGACACACTTAGTCACAGGTTTATTCAATTTCAAAATCCACGGTGAAATGGCTGAGGGAAACGCATGGCTGCTGGGTCAGCAACATCACTTGTAGTGTTCGAACATCTGTTGGAAAACTCACACAATGCAGCAGGTGCAGAACGGCGGAGGGACATGTTTTGGGGTTTATCGTGGAAGGACCATGAAAGCCAAACACAGCGAGAAGAGTGGTGTGGTATCACAGCGCAGGTACACACAATTGATCAGACTGTGCATCCACCGAACAAGCATAGCTTTGTTAGCCAGCGTCTGCTTGTCGGCCGCTGGCCCCCTGTGACATTGTTCAGAAAAGCCCCAAACTCCTAGAGACGGAAGGCGACACACACACACACACACTTGAGATTATGCGTGCTGATTTGGTTGCGGTTTGCCACACGCCAGCCTAAGTGAAAAAACCTAAGGTTCCAGGTGAGTTAAAGACAACCAAAGCAACTTGAATCCTGCGTGAGGCCTCAAAGAAACCTCCATAAGTTCATCAACTCGAAACACCGAAGAGAGTGCGAAAACGACAACGAATGCATTAGCCCTTTAATGCACATCTGCCGACCTCTGAAACCTCACCAGCCTGAGCACTAGAGTGGACGTGGTTACTCAACGCCACAAACTTCAGCAGGTACACGGAGGCGATCAGCCTCCCCAGGGCCGATGGTCAGAAGCAAGTCCTCGTCGCCGTCCGAATCCACGCTCACAACAGTGGCGCCTTTGGCCAGCATACGCCTACGTCTTTGCCTCAAATTTCTCAGGCGTCTTCTGATCTCTTGCAGCTCAGCCGCCGCATCACTGCCACATGCACCACCTGCAGCACGCGCCGACCACATACGAGAAAGCTCAACCTACAGAGAAAATCATGTCAATGGCGACGCCTGAGCCGGTGTGCTTCCTGCGGTAATGAGGCATGCCTCTGAGCAAGCTTGACTCGAACTATGGAGGGCGAAAATGTGAAACCGTTTCAAACGCACTTTCGCAAGCACAGAAACGGATTCATTCTGTCACACAGTCTGCGCGTACACTGGCCCTGCCTGTACGCGATTGGGCGGCATGCGCACAACAGTCACTCGTACTGGGGAACTCCTGGTTCTTGAGCCAGCAACACTATTCAACGTTGTATTATTTCCAAGCAACCTTGTTTCCAAGCAAAGCTTGACTTCTCAGAACACATCACGTCAATTTCGGCGCGTGTGCTCGCAACGCAGCCCTTATTCCCACCAGAGCTGACCTAGTCTCAGATGAAACAAGGGCCATCCAATTCCACCAGGATCATATTTTCGCGCACTCAAACATCCGACGAATCCCTGTACAAACTCACGTCTCTACCACCAGAAACAAAAATTGGAATTCATGTTGTGGGGCTCGCGTAGGGTCACGGGCCGGGACCTTGCGGGACATCGCAAGCCAACCACGACCATACACGCCCAGTGTTGCCTGCCGACCTCAGCCGCGAGCTCCGGGCCGGACCTCAACCACGACCATCCACGCACAGTGTTCCCTGCCGGACCTCAGCCACGACCATCCACGCCCAGTAAGGGCAACGGGCCGGGACCATGCCACAACTTGGTGGGACATCTGCGGGCCTGAGGGCCACGGGTCGGGACCGCGACGCAACTTTGCGGGACCGCTGCGGGCCCGAGGGCCACGGGCCGGGACCGCGACACAACTTTGCAGGACCGCTGCGGGCCTGAGGGCCACGGGCCCTGACCTCCACCCTATTTGGGCTCTACAACGTTAGTGAAAAGGGAGGGGTAGGTAAGGAGCGGACCGGAACAAAGGACCAGAAGGAAATGTAAATGTTAACATTGTATCCCACCCCAAAAGCTCTCGCTATCTGCGGAACAAACAAAGAGGCCCGTGGCTCTGGTTCTTCAAACAAATTTCACTGTCCACGCTACAGCTGTCCACGCGCAGGCAACCACTGCAATCAGCACCCCAAAGCTCATTGCTTCTTCAAGCGGGGCGCAGTGCGTAGAAATCCCACGCCACCACTGCAATGGCACAGTGTGAAACGACACAGCCTCCGGCGTCATGTCCAGCGTCGGGCACCGCCTGCCAGCTCAGGAGAATTTCTGACATTGACTAAGCGTGCATGCCGGCCATGCCTCCACAATCAGCATGGCCTCCTGCAACAAAAACACACTCAACACTCACAAGTGGAGAGAAGCACCTTCACCTCCAGCGTCGTGGCCAACGCCCGGCACCACGTCACCACTTGCCAGCCCAGGAGGACACCTCAACTAAGTCTTCATGCCGGGCATGCCTCCACCACCAGCATGGCCTCCTGCAACAAACAGATTCAACACTTACAGGTTGGACAGTATGGTACCTTCACCAACCCTGACATGCCACCGCGCCTTCTCCAACCACCCCATCGCCTCACAACTCTTCACTGCAATCTCAGAATGTCAGACGCTATCCAACCGCAGATCGGGGCCTCCCTCTGCGGCGTCCATCAACATTTGCAAGTCTTCGCCGGAAAGGTTGCGGGCAGCCTCTGACACTGAAAATGGACACGACGCATGATCCACATCGACGCCCGCCTTCATGAGGCGAAGACGACGTTGCCGCAAGTTTTTGGCTTCGCACGCAGCCGCTTGGTGCAAAAGCGCCTTGCGCAAAACCTACACACAAGGTTTCGATCCGGCGCCCCGTCCAGTTGGTGAATGCTCTTATACGAGCGAACGCCACGGGCCCGGGGGCACAGGCCGAGAAGCCGAAATCGGCGCATATAAATTTCGGTGAAAGTTAAAAATTGGAAATGATGTCTTCTGGGTGAGACTGGATTCAGTTGAACTCTGCAGTATATTTCAGGAAAAACTTTGAGTGAACTCTGCAGTAAACTTCACGTGTGCGTGGTGAAACACTCCGAATGAGCTGATTTCGAGCACGAAAACTCAGTCGAACGGACTTCAGAAAAATTCAGAGGAATTACTCCTTCTATGAGGAGTAGGAAGGTTCTCTCGGTAACAGCGCCCCGTAGGGTTCACACAGCTTACCACGGTGGGAAGAAGCTGCGAACACACTTGAGAAGGTTGCTCCGGGGAGCTTGTCTTCAGGCAATTCACGGTGAGCATTAGCACTTTAAGGCTAGTTACTGCAATACCAATCTAGAGCGCTCAAACCTGAACCTTGGAAATGGCCCTGTGAAGAATGGAAAGGCGAAAGGGTCCGAGAACAGTATGGGTTGAATTTCAGCATTCGTTAAAACTTGAAAGCAGGTACGTGAACCTGGCGTCCCAGGTTCATATCCTCTCCAAAACATCAGTAGCTTCGTTGGAGCTGTGGCCCCCTGCTGCTGTATGTAAGGAAGTCAGTAGAATAGATCCCTTGGAAACAGGTTTTGACACACACACACACACACACACGCACACACACCAATCATGCGGTGTACTGTGGCCAAAACAGTCCCCCATGCCATGTCCATCTCCAAATCAAGTATCGAACAATAGCTTGTGTCTGATACATATGGTGACTGTGCTGCAAAAGCAACTAGACTAAGAAGCCTCGCGAACGTCGCGAACCGGGGACGGGACTGGTTCACGTGCATCCACCACCCTGCCCACGGTCTTACTACCTCGAACCCAGCGGCATAAACCTGCGCCGCATGCGCCGCATGCGACGCGTGATGCGCTGCGTGATGCGGCGCGGGCGAGTAGGGTCGCTGCGGGTAGCTCTCCTGTTGGAGGTCGAGGAGCGGTGCGGTGGGTGCGGTGGGTGTGGTGGGTGCGGGGTGGCGGACTCGCAGGAGACCAGGGTGTTTGGTGATAAAAGACTCCCGAGATCGAAGTCAAAAGGTTTGCTCTTTGGGCTTTCACTTGAGAGAGGAGGGGGTGAACGAAAGGTAGCAGGCAATCACAAGTAACCCTAGAAGTCCATGACGGCGTGAACCGGCGCAGGGGGGATTTGATCCAGGGGCCCCCCCCCCCCCCGACGAACAGAATCAACTCACTCAATGCACAATCCCAACTCCTGATTGTAATACATTTTTGCTAAAGCAAGGAGAACTCAGGTAGCTCAAGCTACCTTTCGTGATTTGGTCGTTTTGCATGGACCGTCCAAGAGTGTCAATCCCCTTTGTGCGCAGTGTAGGGTTCTGTAGTCCGTTAAGGACACCCATTGGATGGTCCAGGTATGTTGTTTTGTAGAACAAGAAAAAGTGGATGAATTTGGTAGGTGTTGAGCGACTCCTGGAGTATACAATCCCTCGGGATGTTGGTAACACCCCAGTCCAGCGGATAGAAAGGGAACGCCTGCAGATCCAGGATTCAACATACCTTGAAGCTTCAAGGTGTCCATCGCAACCTCTATGACCCTAGGCTTCCAAGCACCATTGGTTTATTACCCTTTACAAAAAAACAAACATTGAATTTACTAAGCACTAAGGATTTTACATTCAAACCAGGTCAACCTTTTCCTTAAAGTGTCTTGAAAGGCTGGACCAGACCCAACACATCTCCGACACCGCTCGGCATGGGCGAAGTCATGGGGATGGGTTGTACTACCACTAGTCGATCCTACCACCAAAAAAGCCTTCTGGGTCCGGTTCAACAAAAACTTGGCCCCTTCACCTCTTCCCACAGAGTTCCGTAGTGTAGGTTCTGCAGTCGGACGAGAAGATGCAGCAGTCACGTTCATCTATGATTCGATCCAAATGACCCTCTTGTGGAAAACAAAAAACAGTAAGCCAGTCAGCTAACACAGCATTGGAAGAAGGAAACTCGCACACACACTCTCCAGCATTCTTTGCAAACCCTGATCCTTTTGGAATTCGCTTGTCCCCAACGTTCCGACCAGTCCAATTTCCCCTTTTGCACCAGACACATTGCCCATGGTCAAAACCTTTTGGTGGGAAACTCTGGCTGGATTCCGTCGAAATTCGTCCGCAAACGCAGCGAAGTCCGAGGTCTGCACTCCCCGGACATCACCGGCCACACGGAATCACAGGCCACGGGACGCCACATGGTCGGTGAAGCCAAGGCACATGTCGCTCGGTCCCATGACGAGGTTCGTGTCCATGGTAATTTGCCGGCGCATGTCCTTGGATCAGCTTCATTGGGGACCTGGTAAAGTTGCGAAAAGGAGTTGGAAAAGCAGGATCGTCTTCTGGGCAGTTGGTCAATTCAATTCCTCTTATTTCTCTTATTTGGGGAGGGCAACATCTCTAGATCTCCCGCCACGTCTTCCAAGCACTCACTTTTCGTTTCCGGAGGAGAGGAGAGGAGAGGAGAGGAGAGGAGAGGAGAGGAGAGGAGAGGAGAGGAGAGGAGAGGAGAGGAGAGGAGAGGAGAGGAGAGGAGAGGGAGACGGAGACGGAGACGGAGACGGAGACGGAGACGGAGACGGAGACGGAGACGGAGACGGAGACGGAGACGGAGACGGAGACGGAGACCGAGACCGAGACCGAGACCGAGACCGAGACCGAGATTGAGACCGAGACCGAGACCGAGACCGAGACCGAGACCGAGACCGAGACCGAGACCGAGACCGAGACCGAGACCGAGAGGAGAGGAGAGGAGAGGGAGAGGAGAGGAGAGGAGAGGAGACGAGACGAGACGAGACGAGAGGAGAGGAGAGGAGAGGAGAGGAGACGAGACGAGACGAGACGAGAGGAGACGAGAGGAGACGAGAGGAGACGAGAGGAGACGAGAGGAGAGGAGAGGAGATGAGATGAGATGAGATCAGATCAGATCAGATCAGATCAGATGAGAGAGAGAGTCCGATCATTGAAGAATCGAATTGATTGAGACTCCAGCAGGATCCTCCACCCCGATCGCCCCCAATGCAAGACGATGCTGCAGACCGATGGTGCAGACCGACCAGTCGAACACGCGCGCCAGCTCACCAGAGGGCAAGCTGAAGGTCTTCGAGAATTCCTTCCCTTAGCCGAAGGTTCGGAAAATGGACCCATCTACTCAGCCAGGGCCAGGGTGTCTCCCTTGTGACGCACCCCATATGCCGCTCCAGCCCGAAAATCCCCGATGAGGTCAGAGAAAAAGGCCGGGCAGCCGCCGAAATCAGCCGAACCGGCACGTTCCGTGGCCGCCCGTGTAGCTCGTGCAATCCGCCCCATCCTTCCGCCAGGTCTCTGTAGTGCTCGTTGGGGGAGTCATGTCTTCGCTCCTCAGGCCGCGTCATCTGCGGCTTTCGAGCTCCACCACGTCGAGTCCATCCATGGCAGTGTATGAAACTAGGGAAGACCTCCGAATATGGTCGTGTTGCGCGTGTTGATGATGATCGTTTTGAAGTATGCACTGACCTCAATGGAAAAGAATCGATACACAGATACACATGACTGACACACACATCGGGCTCCGATCATCTGACAAGATCTGTTCTTACTCTTACACCCACGGCAATTTCTATCAACATCACATTCCCAGACCATCAATGTATGGAATATATATGCCTACATTGACCCCAAGCTTGCCACCCCAATGTAGGTAAATATGTCATGCATTGATGGTCTGGGATTGCATAAGCCAAAGTAAGAGAAAGTAGGTGCCCAACGGTGCCAGCTTACACTTCCACTCTCACCCACCGTTTTCGCCACAGCAGGTCCTGGACCAGCCAGTCGCCCACGACCCAAGCCATGCTGATCCAAGTGGCAGAGGATGAATGATGATTTGAAGCGTGGTGCGCGCTCTGATGGGCGTTCTGATGAGCGCTGTGATGGGCGCTGTGGTGGTGTCGACCTGGCAGAGACCCGGTTGGTTCAAGGTTCAAGGGTTGAATTTGTTCATGCAAGACCCGGGCCTTTGCAAACTCCGTTGGACAAGGGTGTTGAAACCCTTCCAGTGGCAGCATATAATATAACAACATAGTATAATAATGCTATATATTATTAAGTTCATTTATATAATATATATATATATATGATCTATGTTCAGGTGGGACCTCTGTAGCCGAACAGAACAACGCTTGGCGGTTCTGTTCCTTTAAGTCCTCAGGAGTGAACTTCGATCTGGCGCATGGTAGGACCGAACGAGCTTCCGGTGGAAGCGGCTTGGTCGAATTGGAAAAGAAAATCACCAGCGGCTTTGGCCTGGACCTTTTTCTGTAATGATCATTCGGCCAGATACGAGTGGATGCCCTGAAAACGGCCCCTGAAAGCGGCGGATGAAGTGAGGGAAATCTATGCCAATTAGCTCGATGGTCTAAGCACCAAGAAACCGATCAAGCTGTAATTATAGACTGATACAGATGTGTCACCGCCGCAAGGTGCCCCAAAATGCGCCGAAGCGATCCGTAGCTGCCGCTTTTGAAAAGGCTAAGCAAACCAAATCGAACTGTCCCCTGTGAGCTTCACCTCTTTCGTAGGCCATCGCTAAGTCTGAAGGAAAGACCTTCCAAAAAACCCGGACCAGACTCCAAAAAGCTCGGTGTGCGTGACCTCGGGCCCTGGGCCGGGCCAGACCTTAACAGGTCGAACCATTGGTGACCCCGTTATGTCGGGTGCATGGTGCGACCATGGTGCATGGTGCATGGTCCCATGAGATCGACCGATCTGCTGACGTCAACTGCGCTGCCCCGACTCCGCGGTGCGTTCTCGCCGTACTGCTGACGGTACCTCGAACGTCGAACGAGCCGCGGACGAGAACCAGTCGCGGCAGGAACCACCGCCGCCGGGGCGACCTCAAGGTCCTCGACCTCTCAGAGGTCACATGGAGCCCTTCCGGGCCTTCGACCCCCGATTTCTTGAGGTCCGGAAAGAAACGACCGGACGTGGGTTGGTGGGTTCGTGGGTTGGTGGGGTGGGGGTTTCACCAAGCTCCCCTCCACGCAGGGCTTGGGCAGATGATCCGCTGCGCACCGGATCATAAGGCCCGCGTTCGTTTCGTGTTCCATCGTGCGTTCATCTCTCCCGTGGTGAGATCACACTTCCGGTCGGAAGCAGAAGAAGCTCCTGGGCGCCTGCACTACTGTCAGTTCGTGGCATTAGGCCTGCAATCATGAAGGAATTCGACTTTCAGCTGAGTAAAAAGTCGTGTTGGTCCAAAACGGTGCAAAGACTCCATTGCCCGCTTTGGAGCGTCATCACGGAGGAAGAAGTCTTACTCAGTCTTACCACCTTTTGTTTGGTCGATCAACGAGTGGCTGGACCTCTTGCGCATTCTGCCGTTCCAATTCTGCCAGCCTTGAAACCGCTTGTTTGCCCTGGTCCCTCGCCAGCCCCTGGCCCCTTCGAAATCCTCCCTCCGACCGAAGGCGCCAAATCCGAGGGCCGAAGCTACGAACGGAACAAAGGGCATCGCTACGAACGGAGCAAGGACTCTACTAGTAGCTCCTGGCATCGCTACTAGGAACAAGAAGCTACTTCAGAAGGTCTAAACCAGGGCAGTGCGATGTTCTCGAGTCTCGGCCAAGTCAACCACCGATTTAGATATTTTTCTCAGGATCCGTGCCGTAGACCCCTGAAAGCCAAACATCCTTTTCCGGCGATGAAAACTCAACCCAAGTCTTAGTGTCTTTCGTTCAGTTCCATTGAAAAAACGCAATGGATTTCTTTGAGAGCCGCTGCCCAACAATTCACCTCTGAGGCTTCCAACGCACGCACCCGGGCGGAGATCTCACTGAAGATCTGCTGCAATCTCACCTGCACTGTCACCGGCGTTTTTTGTTGGTAGGACCATGGTTCATGTAGACTGCTGATGTATTGATGCATAAAACCATAAGTAAATAATACTACCAAAAGCCTTACATCTCCATATGTTGTCAACGGTGTACATTGTCTACATTTAAAGGACAAAAAGTTTTGGAAGATGGTTTTCTGGGTGTAAAGCAACCATGTTGGGAGGAAACTCTCCTCAGCATGAAAATAAAGCTGGTTGCAGGGAGGGTAAGGTGGCCGGATTTGCGAGCGCTATCTTTGATATGGGGTACTTTGTGCTCTTTATTTGTTCTATAACCCTCGGATTTGAAGCAATTGATTCAATGGTTTGAGTCCCGGGAAAGCACATTTTGTTACTTCGGATTTACACTACCAAAAGCAGGTCACCAGAACACCCTGGAATCGCCTGTCCAGCCCAAGTGCACTCAACCGTGCACCTGAAGTGAATGCCAAGAAGCTTGACGCTCAAGTCTCACCCAACCGTATTGAGATCTGTGACCCTCGTGTAGACGGTTGATTCACACCTCCCGTTTTCAGAATTGCTTTGCATCTCCAGCCCTAGGATTGTTAGTGTTGATATATTAATACATAATAATACCGTACAATTTACACAAGAACCCTTACCGTACAAGCTTTTGACGTTCTTTCTCGAGGAGCTGGAGCTTTCTCAACGGTGAGCACAAACGGTAAGCAGGCGTGCGAACACCCGACCCGTGCCAGCGTGCGAAGCCTGGAAGTTTTCAGGTTTGGGGCACGAGAGCTCAGATCATCTGGATGAAACTGTGTGACAAAGCAAAGGATAGAGCAAAGGAGAAAGCTTTCTCCTTTGTTCTGTTCTTTAATCTGTCAAGGGGAGCCTCTTGTAAGAGTAAGCGCACTGCGCAAATTCCTGCTCACCAGAGCAGGAAACAGAGTCAGAGGTGAGAGCATCACCATCCAAGTGACTTTGGCCCGACCCTGGGCTCTGGGCGAAACAAACATCCCGTTGCAAGTTCGAACCACTGATGAAGCCTGGAGCCGACTCTAAGGATCTTCCTGGTAGACAAGCTTCAGCGCCACAGGGGAAGACGCTCCACGGCTCCAAGGTCGGCCCAAACAATGGCAGTCCACAGCGAAAGTAGGCGATTCTGTTCGACCTGAAAAAGCTCAGCTCGTCGATCCTGCAGTCAACAGGTGGACTCTCAAGAGCCGTCGAGCTCGCGCGAGTCTTGCGCTGTCATCTGCTGGCAAGACGGGGCATGTGTTCATTGCTATTCTTGGTGAGGCTGGTAAGTCTGAAGGTGTTTGAAGTTGCCTGGTACGAGATACTGTATATGAAGTGAAGCTGGCGAAATGTTTGGGTATAAGTCGTGTCACATGCCACTCTACTCTACAGGCACGTGTCCCGCATATGTTGGACATTGGAGTCACTGCCAGTCCTCAGGTTTACGTTTGCACCTTGCTCTTTGGAACGTCCGATCCTTCCAAGTGTTGGCGCTTCATGTGCAACGGACAGGAAAGACAAATCGACAGAACAAGTCTCAGGGAGAAGCCTTTCCTTTTGATACGTAGTGCGGCATGCATCAACCGCCTGCCGGATTACCCAGGATGTATGGCATCATATATATATGTTCGACACAAAGGTTGCCGTTCACAAAAAATCTTTGTCAGAAACATCCCATGGGTCTATCCTATTGCCCGGCCGCGGTGGATGATGATGGTTCAGTTGCCTTCCGACTCTTACAGGTTTACTGGGACACACCGACACATCTCTTTTTCCGACACAAGCTAACCTGATGTGCCTGCTGACACACGGCCCTCCGAAAAAGCGGGAAGACATGGCCGTCTTCCTGATTTGCGAAAGAATGACCCGCGTCTTCCCCAGGTTGGGGGATTCATCCAGAAACGAGAAAAATAGAAATCAAATCACCACTCAAATCACCTCACATCCACAAAAGCTCAAATCAAAAGCTCAAATGCTTCCGTGTCCCACCGCGTGTCCCGCAGCGTGTTTGACACGCCTCACCGCCGAAGAAAGAACACGCCGTTTTCCGCGCGCCTTGTGCCCGGGGAGCCACTTCACGTTGTTGAAGGCCTGGACGGTCTCTGGATCTTTTCAGTCACCCTAAAGCGGATATTTTGGGATGCACCCAATCGTAGGTGTCTCATTCCCTGCTAATCAAGAACCCCTCAGTGGACAGGGTGCCTTCGTATGGGGTTACCTATCTTGACGTTCATGGTGACGGTGAGAGCAGCTGGGTCAGGATCCAGTGTCCTGCGGTGTCAGGCGCCTTGAAGTGGCTGTCAGCTCAGGGGAGTCTATTGGACCTCTTCATTGACGTAGGCCCGGACGTAGGCCGTCCGGGCAAGGCGTCTGTGCCCATTGTCGATTGCCAAGAACAACACACCAAGGGTCACTAGGGCGGCCCCAAAAAATTCCAACAGCCCTCCAGTGACCTCCCCAGTGGCCTCTGACCAGGCACCCCACTGACCTCTGACCCTCATGTGATAAGGTCCAATGAACCCAGTAGCGTCTTCTTGGACTTGCTCTCTAGGAACTGGTTTAAAAAAAATAGAAAAGGTAAAAAGCACAAAAAACATCCCCAACAAGTCGTTACTATAGCTGAAGACCCCCGACACCCTCGCTGTTGGGCGGGAAAAGAAAACACCTGCCAAGGGTAATCCACACACACCTGGCCATTTGGGACCTCCAAAGGAACGATCGTACGTGGGAGCCGGGCCGCCCTCCACTCTTGCCCACGTTTTTCACGTTGGCAACTCATGCCAAAGTTCAAGACCATTTTAATAAGCTTGACCTGGTGTTGTAGTTTAACCTCCACAATGGTTCTTCGGGCTTTTCGAACGAATCCAACGGTTCCAAGCCGCCGGGGTCCGCCGGCGCGGGTCCAACCATGTTCCACAAGGGCAGAGGTGCGCTTGAAACCAACATCTTCGGTGTAAGGGAACATCTGCAGGAAACCCATAGTTTTGGGGGTGAAAACCATGGATTGTCCCGAAAAATCCCATGCGCTTGACCCCCAGGAATCGATGCTACTCAATTGCACAGAACATCTTTGGGTGGCATTCACATGCATTAAACATCATTATAAGCCTCAACAAACATGATCCGGCCGTGAGCCGGCACGACGCAAGCTTGCCGGCACGACGCTGATATGATATGACACCATGATCCTGTTCGAGAGGTGATGTCGATGAGCTCTCTCCACTCTCCTTCGTTGCTCGAGCTCGCTCACACCGCTATGAGTCGATGTCACCGCTCAGTTACACACGGATGATTCAAAACTCTTCACCTCAACTGTGGCCACATGAGTGCCTTTCTTCAACCTTCCGATCCGCAAGCAGCTACCTGATGAACCCGATCCTTCTCGTACCTCAGGTGGATGACTGGACCCTCCAGTAACCGAAACGAAGCTATGACTGGAGTGTTGAACCCGCTTAAAGAAAGAAAAGAAAACCAGGACCCTCCAAGGGGGGTCTATTTATAGACCTTTAGCTGAGCTGTTAAGGGGTGTCCATGAACCACCCCTTTGTGACCCCTGGAACACACATATACCCCACCGCAGCACGAAAGGACGCCTCCACATCCACCAAGCTGTCAGGTGATAAGGTCGTCAAAGTGTCCAATGTGTCGTACCTCGCCAAGCGGTGAGGTACAGCCGAGAAACACCATCCGGATCCGCACAAAACACATGTTCCAAGCGATGTTTGTTGTGGAGGGAACTATAGTGGGACTTCTACAGGATCTACAGATGATGTAGAAATTCAATCTGGCGGATCTTCAGGGGCTGTTGGGTTGAGTTTGAACCCAAAAAAACATCTGTCGGCGAACCACATGAACCATCCAGAACACATCAAGAACCAGCAACGACATAACATGGAGCTCCAGAGAACACGCAAATAGAATTGAAACACCATATTTCACCATATCAAAACGCAAGAGGCCGAGAGAGACCGAGCGTTGCAACCACAGCCCCGTTTTCCACCCCTTTTCCACCCACTGCCGCCCCCCAACGGATTGCCGAACCAATGAACCGGAACATGCTACTACTCCCGTCACTGGAAGTGGGTTGAGCCACCTGTTTGCTCTGTTTGCTCCTGATATCATGGTCATCGGAAATCGGACACCATCCACTGTCTAAAACCAAAACAAAGCCCCCAGGTGTTCTTCAGGAGCCAAGGGGGACAGAAAACAACCACAATGCACACCGCCGTGCTCCCGCAGTGGGGTCCACAACTCACGCAATGGTCCGCCTGCGTCAAGCCCAATGGTCCAGCACCGGCAGATTGATGTGTCTTCTTTCTTTTGCCAGAACCAGCCATGGGAGATCAAGGGGCACCAACGGGAGACAAAGCAGAATCATCTCAGCCCAGTATCAAGAAGAGCCGGAGACAGAAGGAGACAAACGGCCAGAAATCACCTTGGCCCAGGATCGTTTCTATGTAAGAATTGACAACCCCTCAGAGCTGCTTGGGGACCAAACGATACAAAACGTGAGATCGTCCATTCGAGAGGATCGTTTAACCGCGCACCCGGCATTGGTGAAGTGCGCCGCCACCGCGGTGGAGATCTTGTGCGCCTTGAAGAAGTTCACCACCTCCAAGTTCACAAACTTGAGAGATCATGAGAGGTTGAGAAACCTGAACTGCTTGTTGCACTGAGAACCCCCCAAGTTTTGGGTGGACATGAGAGCGATAGGTAGAGGTCCAACGAGCTGGTTGGGGCACTCGTTCTTGGGTTCTTGGCCTTTCCTATTCACCCCCGCCAAGAAAAATAAATTGGTCGAAGCGAACAAGAACGACCGCCGTCAGACGAGGCGCTTCAAGGCTGATCGTGGTGGGGCTAAGATTGAGACGAGTCCGGACTGGAATCCTGATGTAGACTCTAATCAAACATCATGATGCACCCCATATGGTTTTTACAATCCAAATGGTTGGGGTTACAAATCAAGAGTCTACATTGGAGGGAATGGATTGTTCCGCCACCACGGCAGTGGAGCTCCTGAAGGAGCTCCTGACATCCGTCCGCGCTCGGCCCATCCCTGGCGCCCTTAAGCGATCAGCCGCCCCATCGAAGCGCGCGCCGGCAGAAGGCGTTTCACCGCTCGGTCCGGTCCAACCCAACGTTGGGCCCGGTCCGACGGTCGGAGGGTTACGGCAGGGTCGTTCGCGGCTCCAACTGCAATCCAAATGGCTAACCGAAAACCATCCACATCCAACAACAGCGATCCGATGGTGATCGTCGGCTGACCTGCTCCCCACGGATGGCTCCCCACGTCTGCGCGGGTCTTCCCACTGCTATTAACCTTCAACTGATTTCAATCTTGCACAGAACAGTATAAGAAATGAACTTGAGTTCATACTTTTTGAATTGGGAGGCACCCAGCCAATGGGGTTTGGATCTATTTCCCTTCTTCAGTGGGGTCGGAAGCCTGGGAAGCCTCCCTCTACACACGCACTTCCGTCAAGCTGGGGCGGGGTGGGAGGAGCATTCCTCGCCTTTGGAGGTGTCCCTTCCCTCTATGAATCAAACCTTAAAAAAAATGACAAGATACAGAAAAATTGAGAACCCCTCACAGTAAACTGTTTGGGGAATAGACAATATATAAGAATAAAAACAAATAGTTTAGACTTCTTTAGACTCACCAAAACGAGATGTCGAAGAGAGACCAACACATGCCATTTTGTCCCTCACCCTGACCCACCGACCTCATGCCGCTCCCGCTCGAGATCCGGGTCCATCTGATGCCCGAAGAGACGGAGCGTCTCGTGGGCGAGAGAAGGAGGCCCCGACTCCAGCCTCCTTAAACCATCAAAAAAACCTGTCATATAGACCTGACAAAAAGGGGGGTGTCCTGGAGGTCCTGGACTGGAGATCCCGCATTTTTTGTAGTGTGCTGGGGCCTTCCATTGGCTCTTTGAATGTGGAGACGGAGACGAGAGGTGTTAAGGAGGCCCTGAGTGAAGGAGGCCCTGAAGGTGAGATGTGGGGGGCAAGGACCTTTCAGCCTTTCATGGCATGAAGCAGATTCGTTTTGTGAAGATTTTTGGAGTACGTGACCAATGTCATCGAAGCTCCATCTTGGGGTGTGTATGGAGACCACCAACCATTGGGTAGACTGGTCAGTTTTCCTTCTTCCAGGGGGGTTCTCGTTGCCTGGGAGGTCTCCCAACTAAAATATACGCCGTTTTGGGGCTTGGGAGTAGCTGGTTCACTTCGCAACGCCGTCCTCACGGGCTGTGCAGCTGCGGGTCTGGCTCTGTGCGGGTATGAGGTGGTTCTGGGCTCTGCTTCGCAGGGAGTGTCCTTGAGATCCCAGCGTCGCTGACCTTTTCGATAGTTCGGTCACTGGGAAGGTCCCAGAAGGGTGCAAGCCGGGACACATACTATTCTGACCCCTCCTCTGTCGAAGGGTGCCATGGCAGGTACGTAGGTAGATAGATACACTTGAGGTCCCCAGTGATCAAGCCCGTCACAAAAAAGAAACACTAAAACTCACCCACGAAGCCAATCCCGTTGTCGGTCACCGCGGGAGTAACACCCACCTGCCAAATGGAGGCAAAACCATGCAAGTGTTCCGGGTAGTGCCTTGGAGCCATGGGGCAAACTACGCGACCTGTGCGGATTTGAAAGAGGATGGCTAATCTTGTTGGATGATGTTGGATGGTTTGGACACGAAGAATGGCACAGGATGGCACAGGTTACAACGGATGAAATAAGTACAAGGCCAGCAAACGAAACCAAATAAGTGACTGTCAACATTAACTGCCTGCTGTCAACAGTTTTATGATTTGTTGAGTCCAGAAAAAATCATTGAAAAATCTTTAAAACATGCATAAAATTGTGTGTTAAAAAGAAAGAAACGTAAAGCAACGTACCTATTTCATAAACCAAAACAAACAAAACATAAATAAACCATATTTTCTAGCTACTGGCCCACTCTCAATCCTAGAATTTCAGCATGTTTCTCAACCATCTCCAACACTGGTTGTTTTTGTTGATTGGAAGTCCATACAAAAGAAAACCTAGGATCTGCATGGATCTGCTAGGTTTCTCGGCCCACAGGTACGTCTGGAAGAACTTTTGGTGCAGCCGATGTTGGTGGCAAAACAGTAGCATCGTCCGGGAAAGGATCATCTCTTGCAGCCATACACCAACAAGAAACCGCGTCGCCAGTTGCTGAGCGGAGCTATCCTCTCCTCGGCATAGAAGCTCGAGGTTTCTCCGCATCTGCTTTCATCTCAGCGGCAGACTCCTCTTCATATGGTAGCTTTGATTCGTCAAGAGTTTACAATCTACGGAAGAGTTCTCAACCTATCTAGCCGTGTTCCCGGAGGCAACGTCCCGCCCCAAACGGAGGCAACGTCTCTTCAGCGAAAGAAAGGGCCTTTCCCTGGCCAAGTAGCTTGCAGAGGAAGTCCACCACGAAATGAATGCAGTTCTTTGGCTTCTGCTCCTGGCCAAAGAAAGGCGGCTGGCGGCTTACTCCCGCGAAACCCACCAAGCCGGTGGTTAGTGTTTGGGAGAAGGTGTCTGGGGTGTCTGTGAGGAAGGCAGATGGATTCATCAGGCGAAGCAAACAAAAAGCAATGAGAAGAATGGCATCGCAGGCAGTTGCAGGTGTTCAGTTGTTCTCAGCTGCGAGGGATATACCTAGACCCTCCCTGTTGGAGGCTTCTTTCATTTCCTTCGAGGCAACGGTAATGAGGTTGGTGAGGGGCACGTGATGAATTCCAGGCAAAGGTTGGCAGCCTATGGCCATGGGGTGAATTCAAAGGTTGAACATAGAACAAATTTCTTGAAAAGCACCCACCGCTGATGATGATTCGATAAAAACAAATGCGCACATGTTTGTTATTTGCCAAATTGATGTTCTGTTTGCTCAACAAGTGTCACCGTGGCATCAAAGATGGGCAAAAACAACCGTCACAGTGATGAAGCTCTAGGACCTAGGACTAGGGTGATGTTTGTTGTATGGTGTCGTATTTGATTGACGCGTATGGGCATCCGCCTTTTGCTACTCCAAGACAATACCCCAATCTGCTAGCCACCATCCACTGTTTGCATGGCAACCTGTGACTGGGCAGGGTGTGAAACAAGAACAGCCCACAAGAAAAACAAAGCATATACAGTACTTCGTATTTATCAAGAGTCCTGGCGTCCTGCCTTTGAACCAAGCTGAGTGCTGGTCCATCACGTCTGTGGCGCGTCCTCGATCTCCTGCGCCAAGCGCGTAAAGAGCTGAGACACCGCGGCCTGGGCGGCGCGGTAGATGTGCGCTCGCGCGGCGAGACCGCGTCGACGTCGGCGGCGGCCAAAGGGTGCCAGGTTGGCCCCAGGCTTTGGGGCACCGAACGATGCCTCTACGACCCCACTGAGTGCCCAACTTCGACCCCGCATCACCTGCTCAGACTCGCTGCAGCCTGTCTTGGGTGCCCTTCGTCTAAACCCGTGGATCTAGGACTCCCATGACTTCGGCCACCAAGACAGGTTCCATTCATTTCAATCGAAACGGAACCGCACCGAAGCCGTTCCCAGATCGGTTCCGAACGAACTACCGTACTGGTATCCAGAGTCTCCGGGCCCTCCAAAACGGGAAGAGAGGATGTTCTACAGTCAACTCCAACGCTCCCGTGCGCGAAAGCAGCCCCACAGCCCGACCTTGCCGGCCCCTCCCAAACCCCCAGGCGATTGGGAGGCGCCTTAGGATGTGCAGGACGCCCGTGGTTGAGTCAGGTCTGCTCGCTGGAGAAGGGTCCCATCGTCAGGTCCGGGCCGAAGGGGATTCGTACCACCGAGCCCAAGTTCGCCCGGCTTTTGGGACACCCCCGTTCCTCACCACTGGACGAGGCTATGTGTTTCTTTTCTTTGACACCTCGAACGGAAGGTCAGTTCCTGATCTCTTGCCACCTGGTTAAGAACGGACTCCTATGACTGTCGAACGGTCCTCCAAAGGGACGGACATCCGTCCGGACGCTTCTTCGGAAGGGCCGTCGAGGCACCATGGATCCACCTGCACCGCCTCCAGGCGCCTGGAAAGGAGTGGGCCAAACGAGGAGTGGGTTGAAAGAGGAAAAAGAACCCACTTGGATCAGGCACCAGGGGCTCGTTCGGTCTAATTCGGCTGCCAGGCTTGCTTTTGGAACCGACTTTGGTGGCAACTGGATCCACTATAAAATGCTTTTCAGGGATGCGCCACCACTGATTCTTCGATGGATCCACCACTATACCGCTCCGACCGGTCCCTCCAAACCGGAGGAATGGTTCGGCGAACCAAACTCTTGGGCGGTCAAAAAGGGAACCGGTCCCTCCTCGTGATTTCCGTGATGAGACGGGGGGGGGTCGAAAAAGCACTCAATCTGGAGTCTTTTGAAGTTCGAATCCCGGACTTGGAAGGCTTCCAATCGCAAAAGAACCAGTTGTTTTACATTGTAACAAGGAATCACCAAAATTGCCGCTTCTATACTACTTCTATAGGGGTATGTCTTGATGATTTGGCTGCAAGATGCTGTCAAGGTGGCAATCATGCATGGAGTTCATCTCGAGATGGAGTTCACAGGCAGGGTAGCAATCATCAATACAAAGAGATTCCATCAACTTGAAATGACACTGCTTTATACGGTGGATTAGTCTCAATGCTGCCAACAACTGCGTTCTAACTGATTCAAGGTGAATATTGATATCTTCTCCTCCACGTGGTTGCTCAGTGCTTCATGTTCAGGATCGGAGTCTTCCCAAACTCCGGCTCCCTTCGGCTCCCCCAGAGGGTGCACCTTCTCTTCCTCCCGCCGCACCTGTGAGGGCTCATAGCCCATGGGCGGTGCCTCCATTCCCAAGCCTTGGTCTATGACAGGAGGTGGCAAAAGTGACGCGAGGTGGTCGGAAATCTGAACTGCACATACAATTCTGCCAGCATCCGACAAACAGGTCGCCAATGGGTTCGACCTGAATTGGGCCCTTCCCAACTCTCTGGGAGAGACCTGTAGAGTGGGATGCTGTGACGAAGAAAAGGCGATATTGCATGTACCTGGGCCCTCCAGTCACCACCCACCCATTGACTGTTCATTTCGGCCACCAAAAATCGGAGACCCGTTGTGAGTCGGCTGCTCAAAATCAACGTGGTCCGATGCCCGTTTCACCCCCACGTCGACCCTCCGTCCGTTTCACCCGTTTCGCCCAGGTTTCACCTATCTATACCAGCGGAAAAACCGTCTCAGCGCGGCACTTTGCATGTTACTGGCCATCGCCCATATGCAGGGCTCAACGAATGGCACAGCTATCTTTGAACGGCCAACGCTGGTCATGCGTCAACTGCATCACATCATGTTTCCGGAACGTTCTCCCTCCTTTTGATGTGTTGCATGTCGTGTTCCATATCTCCCAATGTTTGGAGTCGCATGGCCGTGGTACCCCTGCATTGAACCAAAAAAACAGCTGTATACGTCGGCTCTTGGGTATTAGAAATGCATAAGACTCATTACCTCCACTTCAGGTTCACCGGCACCCTACAACATGCTACAACCACGCGAAGAGAAAGAAACACGCCAAACCAACTTGTTCTCCGAAGTAAGCACTCTTTGCAAAAAGGAAAAGGAAATTGGTGAAAACCGACATGGACCCGGACATTGTTATTCTCTCCAAATCAACAATTAATAGGATTTAATAGGTATATGCATGGCATAGTTGGTAGCTTTCCGTACCCGTCACTGTTCTTGAGACCTCCGGACCGCAAAACCTGGGGCCGGAAGGTCTCCCAGGTTTGCCTATTGCACCACCCACCTGTTGGCCGTCTGGAGCGTTTACGACCAGATGCCACTCCCGGATCGATCCCTCTCCAAGGACCGCCCTGCGGCGCGATCGATCGCCATGGGGTCCGACTGGCGCCGGGAGAAAGCGGAGGGAGGCCTGGGTGAACCCAGTCCCGTCCCAACTCTAACCCGGCAGCAGCTTGAAACCCCATGAAAGCCACCCCTTCCCGGTCCCTCCAAACCCTGGAGATTGGTGAGAAACCCCGGCCTTTAGAGAATTCGGGTCCAACCTCTGGGAAAGAGGATAAGACCGGAAGTGTTCCGGAAACTCCAGGGTAGCATGGCTTGTAGTATGTGGCGCTGTTCTTCAGGTCGCCCTCGACTGGACGTCGACCGGCCAACCAGGTTAGGCTTCGACGCCCTGCAGCCACCGATATTCACTTGTTAGGGTTCCAACCACCTCCTGAGAAGATGGTTGGGGTGGGTGCCAGGGGGGTCTAACCACCTTCTGAGGATATGGTTGGAGCCCTAGGGACTATTTCTCTTTTCGGTGTTGCGTCCTTACCCCGTGCATCTCTGACCCCGTCAGAGTCCGTTGAATCGGCAGAACCCTGATTGGTTGTCTTCGCTTTCGTCGCTGGTCTTCGGCTAAGACCACAGAGAGAATCATGTTGGAGGCCATCGCTATTTGGTTGGAGCGATTCACCTCACTCCCAGCCCGACGATAAACAGGTCTCCAGGCCTTGGAGGTCGAAGCCTTTTTCTGCCCAACGATCCCAACTGACTCACCCGAACACCTTTTTCTCGCTGGGAGCAAGCGCCCAAAAACCCGTCCGGGTTTCCAGAACCCGCGGTTTTTAAGGCGCCAAACGTGAAACGGAAGCCCGCTCAGGTGCTGCCCATCTTGCGGTAGACACCTCAAGGAGGATGCGGTGCGAGGGGGAGGATCGCAGGCGATGGGCGTTCCACCCAAGCCCAAAAGGACGTCCATTCGAGGGGTCGTTCGCTGCGCCTTGTAAGAAGAAGAAGAAGGGCTAGGGCATCAAATTTTGGAGAGGACGTCTGCCTTGCGGGAGAAAGCACTTGAGATGACGTGTAGGAATCCCCTTGACCCAGCCGACGTCGATCGTTCTCACCTCCCGACCTTCGCTCGGAAGCCGGCTCCGCTTCTCCCGCTTCATCCTTGTACCGTGCCAGATCACCGCTGTCACCAAAACCAAGCCAACAGAGGTTGAAGGACCCTATAGACTATCCCAGTTCGGTACCCCAGCAGGGTCCTATTTACGGTCACTTAACCTCCCTTGGAGCCGTCACCCAAAACCACCACTTCTCGTTGCGCGGCGCCTCTCCGTCCGGACCCGTTAGAAGAACTCCCTCCATCTCCACCATGGGCTGCCCCGGCGGAGGTAGTCAACGTGCATCTGCACGGGAAAGGCGGTCATGGCTGCATCGCCTGCGGTTGGTTTCGCTGTTTCTTCTTGGTTTGAAGTGGCGAGGCGTGGTTTTCCTTTCAAGGGGACCACGGACGAGGGAGCTTCGACGAACAAGGGAGCTGAGAAAAGGGACCTCGAGATTTCGAGAGACCCCCGAATTGAAACGCAGAAAGAGGAAGAGCCGCCTCTTGAGAAGTTGAAGGTGAATCTGTGATCATTCGGAATCATTCGCATGTGAGTCATGTGAGTGACTTCGCTTGCCCTGTCCATCTCCCTACTCATGTGTCTCACTAGTCTCCAATCCATTCCACTCTTCCCACTCTTCCCACTCCGGTCCCAGCACCTCCCACCTCACTCGATCCGAACCCCGATCCGAACTCACTTCGAGCCGGATCCGACGTCGTCCGACCGCGCGGTGAATCGACCTCCCACGTGCCCGCCAATGGCCAGTCCCAGGATCAGGAAGAACTTCCTCGGAAGGTCGCGCGGTCTCGAGGAGGTGAGGAGGTGAGGTGCGGTGAGTGAGCTGGGAGGCAAGGGGAGATCGTGACTAGGGTGTAGTGACCTTTTCATGCAAAAGAACATGAGTCGTTTTCGGGTTGAGATCAGAGCTGGCAGCCACTTCGCCTGACACCGCGGGACACTGGATCCAGACTCAGCCTGACCCAGCGGATCACCGTCACCGTCACCATGAAGGTCAAAAAGCGACCCCATACGAAGGCACCAAACACTGAGGCACTGACGGGTGCTTGATTAGCAGGGAAGGAGGGTGGCTGAGGCCCGTATATATTCGAAGCACCATGAATTATATTATAATAATTGAATAGCCAGAATGCCGAACAGCCATTGCTTTACTGACCATTCGACACTTGAAGAAAAAAGGTCCAACCGGTTCTTAATGTCCATGGAAGGTTAGGGTCTGGATATCTTGGGATCCAGCCACCCCACGTCCGCCTACCAGCCCGTTTGGGTCTTTTTTATATGCCTGGATTTGTGGTTTACTGATGAAAAAAGGTAAAGTCTGCCTTCCCTTTGGCTGCTTTGTAGACGGCATATGGCATGACATGTTGCGCGACCTGTAGCCACCGGAAGATCCGGAGTTGGACCCAAGTTGAAAAAAGAAAAGGAACGCCGTAAAAACAGGACCCCGCACTTCGAGTGCTTCAGCCGTGTCCCTCCACCTGTCGTGTCACCTTCGGTCCGCCGACTCCGAAGGGGTTCCGCCGAAGGGACTTGTTCCGTGTGAAGGGGTTCGGCCAGGAGGTGCGCTGCGGATCCGCCACGCTCAGATCCACCTGGGCTTGCGCGTGCGGCGGACAGGTTCCCAGGAGCGAGGCGGAGGTGCTAGAGGTGGCTGCAGGTGGCTGCGGAGAGCAGACAACGGCCGAGCTCAAGGGGAAGTGTCCAGAGAACTCTTCCAACATCCCAAACCCTCTCCCTACTACCCCACTAGGACGTAGACAAAGACCTTTTGACACCAAGCAGAAGCTCCACGACCATCTCCCAGCGAACCGTCTCCGGACCTTCAAGAGGCTTTCGCCATCCACGCGGATCTCGATGAAACGCTCGTCCCACTCCAACTGCCAAATGTGATAATACCTGCCGATGGCCCCACGAAGCATTTCATGAAGCACTCCATGAAGCAAGGGAACCTTCATGTTTCACCACCGAAGGAGAGCAGAGGGAGGATGCAGTGGGAGTCTCCACTTGATTTGAAGACAGAGACTTGGTGAGTGGTTCAATGGAATCCCACCAACATGTCCACCCCTTCCACCAGAGTCACCAAAGGCCATGTGTGTCGAAACGCTCCCAACAATACCTCTAAGGAGTTGAACAGAACGGCAGACTGTCCATCGAGCGCACCCAGACCGACCCCAAGCCTTCCATTCAACTAAGGCCGCATGGATGACCTGGTTTGCATGGATGACCTGGTTTATTTAAAAAGAAGAAACATGTTCTTCGGCATTCAAGGGTCCGACCCCTACTCAGGCGCCTCACGGTTGCGTCTGGGTACACATCCACAGGCAGTTCTGCAAATTTACAGTTGAAATACCGGGACCTGATAGACAGCGAGGCCCATTAGCAAACCTCATTTTGATATTTTGAGGACCACCGCAGGAAAGGATATGGCAACCCTCTGCTGCAAACGCAGCCACCTCTTACCCCTGGTTCCTATGAGGAAAAGGTAGAAGATGGAGAAACTTGGAGCTTGATTACGATGCCCCACGAATCTAAGTCAAGCTCCCAGCATCTAGAGAAGATTAAGACTTCATAGCGGGAAAACCACTCCCGTTCGTGTCACCCTTTTCTCAACTTCCTGCGCGGCGGAGGTACCCACCACGACCCGTGGTCCAACCTTCGCACGGCCTTCGACTCGGCGGCCGGCCGAACGAGCGGCGCCGACGCAGCAGGGCACTTTTCCCAGTCGCGATCCACCATCCGAGCACCTAGACCGGGTGGAGCAGACCGAGTGGAGCAGCCGAGTGGAGGTTGACCAGTCGACCCGGGCGATGGACTGGTGTTTGGGTTCATGTCCCAGCTTAATTCTTGTTTCTGATAGCTTCTTGTTACTACTAGTCTAGGCCCTTGCTCCTAGTAGCGATGCACTTGTTCCAAGTAGCGTCCTTTGTTTCTATATAGAGTAATTTGGAGAGTCGAAGATGTTTTGGGGGATCCTTTATGTTTTTTGAGCCGAAATGTGGCACCTGCTACATGATCCTACAGACATCCTGCAGGAATCCAGTCACCCCCGAACACTGGAATTTGTGGTGTTGGTGTACTGCATATCTTACCCTAGCCTAGCCTTCCAAGATCGTTAAAGAATGATTGACCTGGCGTTGTAGTCTAAAATCCATGGTTGTCATCAGGTAAGAATAAGAACCATATACAATCTGAATCAATGGTGCTTTCAATCCTCGGCACAACTCTTCTCTGCCGTTCTGCTTAGGTCAGGGATCCTGGTGAGATGTTCAGCTGTGATGGCCTCACATGCTCAGCAAAACTTGGATCTCCCCCCGCACAACTGCCATCCACACAGTATTGATGCAGCCTCTATGTCGTGGTACCGAAAATACTTCCCGCTCAATCAAGAAACACTGGGCAACTGCGGCAAAC